AATATGAGCCACATGAAGTGGTAGCAAATTCTATACATTCCTATAATTTAAAAAGAACTCTAGTTTCCATGTGTAAATATTTATTCTTAAAATAATAATATTAATAATATCTTCCCATGAATCCAAAGAAGTAGTATCTAAAAGGATTTCAACCACATTTTCAGAAAAATTCTTTATACACTAGAAGAACCAAGGATCATCAGACTACCTTCATAAATTGTTGTAACTGTATTCAGTACTTATTACAATTAGGTTTATGTGTTTTATAGCATTAATTGATAGCAGAGCTCAAATAAATGTATATATGTTAGTACAGCAGCTCTAGAAAATAAGCCACTACATGGGTAATTCCAGAGTGGCTTATATTAGTAATTACTGAGCCTTGTGAATATATTGATGTGATCCTAGAGAAATAATCTATTTTAAAAATTCCCTTAGCACTTTCCTTTTGTTATACAAACCTATGAGCAACATATATGGTTCATGGGAATTAAATCATGCCTATAGATAAATAGGTGTATATGTTTGTTTTATTAAAGCACAAACACTTTCTATGTCTTTAGCTACATTATTCCAACTCCTTTCAGGAAATTACTTTTATATTCTCAAGACAACTCTCTTGTGTCATCTATGTTTTCTTTTCTTTCTTCTTTTCAGGCAAAAACACTACATTATATGAAACAACGAAGAAAGCTGATATGTGGCTTATTCGAAACTATTGGGATTTTGATTTTCCTCGCCCACTCTTACCAAATTTTGATTTTGTTGACGGACTCCACTGCAAACCTGCCAAACCCCTGCCTAAGGTAAACATGTTCCTATTTGTTTGGTTTTGTTTATTGATTGTAAGAGTTGAGGCTCTTCACTATTGTTCTAGCTTAAACGGAACACCGTTCCTCGCCAATGTTAAGGTGTCCCCAAAATATTGACAGCAAAACTTAATGTTTACTTATTTCACTCCAGCATTGAAATCATTCCTCACTGAGATCCCAGAGTTTTACCTCTTAGAGCACCAAAGGAAAGGTTTACCTTATCAGAGCAGGTGTTTCCTGCCTTAGGCCAAGTCTACAGGACACCTCAATAAAGCTGCCCGGGGAAACTTTTGCCTCAACCTCATAATTGCCTAAGAGAGAAGCACAGAGAAAATGTACAGTGTGTATATAATAATAAAAAAATATATTCTATTACTTCTGTCTTAAAAGTGACCATACATTTTAATATTTGTGGATTTTAAAACAGTAAAACTTTTGGCAAAATATATCAACCATTTTAAAAATGCACATAGCTGTTGTCTCATACCTAACAATGACCTAGGAAATATGATCATTCAACTATGTACCATCTAATTCTATGTATCAATGGAACCCTTGGGACGATTTCACTAAAATTCTAAACCACAATATCATAATCCAGAATGTCAGTGACTATCAACCTTCACCCACTGTCTGTGTGTGTGTGTGGGAAAAGACTGGGAAATTCTCACACACTTGAAGTGAGGGAGAAAAGATTATAGACCTGAAGAAATGTGGATATAAAATCGTCCCAACTCTTAGTAAGATAGCCTCCTGGTAATAATCAGAGAATGACACCTATGTCTCCAAACCAAAAAAACATCTATAGAAAAATGCCTGAAATGAACTAGCAATTTAGAATTACAACCATATAGAATTAAAGCCAAGTGAAGGCCTCTTTTTAAAAAGTAAATTATATTAGTAAATACAATAATATAGTTGAACAGTCTGGGTATAATATTTTCTAGCACCATCTCTCCGAGCTACATTGCAATAACTCCACTTCATTTCTTCCTCCAATACACATACATACATGCATACACATGCAAACACATATTTGCACAAAACCACAATAGATGCCATCTATCCCATAATACACATTACTTTCCAAATAAACTCAGTGATTAACTCAGTTAAAAACTAGCCCCTGGGCCGGGCGCGGTGGCTCAAGCCTGTAATCCTAGCACTCTGGGAGGCCGAGGTGGGCGGATTGCTCGAGGTCAGGAGTTCGAAACCAGCCTTGCCTCTAATAATTTTAAATAATACTTGATTTTCCTATTCTTAGATGTTTTAACCGGAATCTTTTCAAATGTGTTTCTTACACTGACACCCGTTTGTGACGGAACACATTCTTTCTTCACAGGAGATGGAAGACTTTGTCCAGAGCTCTGGAGAAAAATGGTGTTGTGGTGTTTTCTCTGGGGTCAGTGATCAGTAACATTGACAGAAGAAAGGCCAATGTGATCGCTGCAGCCTTGCCCAGATCCCACAAAAGTTGGATAAAGCCGCCTAATGTGGACAGCACGAATCCCTCCTGTTTCAACTTTTGTAAAGAGGTATGGCTGCAGAAATTTTCCTGTCAAAAGCATTAACTGCTTAGTATAGCTCTACTTATCTCAGATATCCAGCTCAAACACTAAAAGATATATGGAAGATGCTAGCAATATAAACTACGGAGGGTTTTCATTTGTAATAACATTTGGCATTAACAGTGGTGATCACCAAGAAATATACTGAAAAGGTACAGGGAAGTTTTGATATTATTAAATATCATGGTATTGAAAGCATGTAAACAGACCATCACTAAATTCTACCCCTGATCATTTAATCCTATTTAACAGACTTCCTGAGGGCCCTGTAACACACTACAGATATTATCAGAAAGAAATTAAATTTTAGTGAGTGTCTGCACTAGCACAATAACAATCAGCCAGGTATTTGAGAAAAGTCTGGAATTGCATTGCAGGTTAAGTGTTCCCATGTGGATCTCACCTTTTGTAACTCCTATTAAATTCTGGAAAAAGCTATATGGTGGTGGCGGTCAGGGTTCTGTTTCAGAGACAGGAGTTTGGCCCTGAGATAACACTAACTCCAGGTACCCACCTACGCCAAGTCCAAATTACAGAAAGAAAAAACCACCTGCCTTGCTGGACAGGCTGGATGAAATGTGAAGTTGCAGGTGGATCCTGCCGCTAACAAACCTGTGCCATTATAAAACGTGGCCCCACAAGACTCTGACCAAA